TGAATGTCGTGCTTTAATAGATCAAATGTTCGCCCTTCGTCAGTCCTGGATCACCGCCACACATATAGGCGACACACTACTGCCGTTTGTTAGGGCATTAGACTTCATTAACTGACTACGCTGTATAGCTATTCGCCAAGAAACAACGCCAGAGAAGTATGTTCAGATTCTAAAACCACTCTACCATCAGACTTGGGGGAGGGGGTGGGGTGGAGTTCACTGTGAAATCGCACCTTCTTTTCCTGGTACCAATGCGGTGCAATAGGGTTGTTCTATCTCTGTTGCTCTTCAACCTTACCATAAATGACATCCTGCAAACAGCGTTACTTAGTGACATCAACTCCGGTTTTTGGCTTCGTTCTACAGACACAGTCATAGACTTCAACTGTGCCGGTGATGGTTGCTTGCTCATTGACCATACGCAGGCGATATAATACGCGTTAAAACAGCCTGGCAAATAAAGATGCTCATTTTGACGTGGGCTTTCCCCAGTCACAGTGCAACATGCTGCAAGAGGTTTTCAGGAACACTCCTGTTGGGTGATGACACCTTGGAAGTGTGATTCTATACCTGCCATAAAATAATTATATGCAATAAGAAGGATGGACAAATTGTAGGGTTGGGATTTCAGCCGAATGACCATCTCCAGAAATGTCGGTGGAAAACCGAAAGCATAATCATCTATCTTAAAAAAACAGGCATGCGGTCAAGGGTTAGAGCGAACCGAAAAAGAGCATTGGTGGAGAGTGGTGACGTGTGACAGATAGATTACAGCATTTTAAAGATGGAAATGTTTATGATAACCAATAAAGAGCACTGGACAGCTATTTCGTCCTGTTTGGGACTCGTCAGCAGTGCGTACTTTTGTGTCCCTGTCAGGAGTTGAACCGCGATTCTTCGGGCTGGGACTTCAAACCCTTTCCCTTGGGCTACACGGTCGATGGTGCCTGTGAAAAACCGAATGAGCTAATCCAAACATTCACCATCTAGATTACAGCATTCTCCCGAAGTTGACTTCCTGTGACCGTAAACATCCGTACGAAAACGTTCAGCGGGAAATAATCCCGGATGTCAATGGAACTTTACAGGCAACTAATCTAATTAACGGAATACGGTCTAGAAAAATAGGAAAGTAAATAATCCACATGTGTGGAAGGATTGCACTGGTAGGCTGAGCGAAAGTAGCATTTACCTGAGGAGAGAAATTAAACTGCACTGAAAAGTTGAGAGAGATTGAAAGCAACAGATAAATGAAACCCCAGGAAATGGATTCACGAGTGTACGACTGTGGTACGGACAATGTAAGTTGTTGATTTAGTTTGGAAGGCCCGGAGATTTTTCAAATGAGGTTATTTCATCACACTCGAAACAATAAATAATTTAGTGCGATTGGAACAAAGGCGGGGCGTGTTCCACGGAGCTCCGAAGATTAGGTCAATTTGGATTGATTATTAGTAGGATAGTTCTCCGTTTCCGAAATTTCTATTCCTGTCTGTTTGGCTAGATCAAGCACGATTTCGAACAACGCTTCAGCCAAGTATCGCTCGGAAAACGGGGGTCTGATAAGCGGCACGTGTACGAAAACCGTTCGGTCATGATATTTTTGTAAAGATCTGAAGGAAAATAGAAACAATAGAATGTGGAGGTTAGGCACAAACATGGGAAGAATTGAACATGGCACAAATCAAAAATTACTCCGGAATAAAACTGTGGCAAACTGGAAAGAATCCCAATAATGTTCAGTTAAGCTCTTTGGAAATGCCTTTTAAATAGAATATTCCGCAGATCGAGGCGTTCGCCTACGACCAGATCCCCAGTACCCGTTCTACAAGCTCTGATGGCCTAACAGCGCATAAGGGCAGCCCTACTCTCAAGAGTACGAAGCTAAGGAGGTAAATGCATTGTTTATTGTATGGCGATTTCGTGTATAAACCGTTTGGGTATATATATATGTTGTGGAATGGAACAACACTTAGGTTTGAGCACTTTAGCGAGGTATAATCGATCGAGTGCTAACAAATGAAGCACACATCCAAGGTCAGGATGGAGAATTCTAATGGACTAATTTTGCAAAGAAAGTGAGCATATGCACGAGCATCACTAAGAAGACACTCAATGTTTTTAACCATTATTAAACTGCTTCTAAGGTCCTCAACCAGGAAGCCTAATACGGCCTATACATCCATATCTCCTATTGATGGTTTTCATACTCTCATATCAAGCTTTGGTTTGTATAACGTATTTCACCATCTAGCGCCCAGGAAACCTACCTGGAGACACGATTAAGACATGTCCGAGCCCCGCAATCCATGGGGTTGTGCATCTACTTCAGTGAGAGACAATAGGTATCTAGAATTTTGTGTCTACTGTCGGCACTGGTCGACCGGTTATCCAACCCGAGTAGTGCAATTCGACGAAGTCAGCGANATGTTTGAACACCGATAGTATCTCCTTGACTTGTGCCCATAAAAAAGAATTCTATGCACCACATCGCCGCACCGATCGAACTAGTGCCGCTCAGATTCAATCGTTCACCTACAGTGGGACATTTCAACATATTTGAAGATCTTTGCATTTGACTCACAGTTACTTGTGAGTAGTGTGTCAAATCAATCAATAACCGAAGATGCCTGAAGCTGGCATACAACAACCGTCCCTTTTGTATGCGTATCGACAATTAGACTGAAATTTGAAGACCGGGTGCGAAGCGGTGTCTTAGGTACCAAAACCTATCTACTGTTTCTATTGCGTCCCCATTTGGGTTAAGTTTAGGAACTGGATCAACAGTCTTCTTACAATATTTTACACTTTGAAGGTACAAAACCCTAGGAGAGAATAGCTACGTCAACACTTAATCCATCGAGAAAAAACCGATCGACATCTGTCGCATAAAGCGTACTGCCGCATTTCATTTCCGGCATGTTGGATGTAGTTGATTTATCAGGCGTATACAGAATCCGGCACGTACCAGACCATAGCAAAGAAGAAGTAGTCTTAAAATCATTTCGTCATTAGTATTCAATAGCAATATCATCACTCCAGCTTCCGTGTTTAGAGGAATGGAAGTTGGTGCTTTACAGGAATCATCCAGGGGTGCGCACAATTCAATCAGGCAATCTCCGTCCACTTTCACATTTGGGGTGATTCAGACACTAAGAGCCCCACTTGCGGTAGATACCAAATCGCCTGAAAAAGTGAAGCGTGCGATAGTTTTGTCCTGTCATAACACCTTTCTGTTCGTCGGACTGACTTAAACCAGACTGTGTCACCCTGATTGAGTTAAGGTAGTAGTTTGCTTCCCTGTTCGCAAAACCTTTCTGCACCATACTCACGTTTGTTCAGTTTCGAGGTGATTGCTAATGATGATAAAATACCTGGATATAGTATATCGAACAAAGAAGCATTCACTGTTCGAACCAGGCGTTTCATTGGGATACAAGCAGAAGACTGCCACTTCACAAAGACTGATGATGTCACCTCAGCTTGTGATGAAACGTTTGCAAACAAATTGCCACGCTCGGTGAACAGGCGAAATGTAATTATATGCTTATATATGCTTACATTTTAGTTAGAAAGCTACATTGATCGTCACACGAAATATAATATATCAGTTTGGAGATTATGCAACGTGAAAAATAATGCTAAAATTTGGTGTGTATGTGCACAAATTTTAACGTGTTCAATCACGACCTGCTCCTTGCTTAGGTGTGCGGAAAAGTAAGGTACAGGTCAATTCTTAAAATTTCGGAGTGGAATGGAATAGATACCGAAAGGAGTTTGTGTACGAATGGGAAAAACAAAAGGGCAACTCAATTTGCAGTGGATGAAGAGAATCGCGTATGACTTAGTTGGCGAATTTATTTCGAGCGTTGATGTGAAAATTAATCCGTTCTGTTATCAATCAATCAAATGAAATCAGGGATACACGACTGATTAGCACCAAGCCACAACGAACCGTTTTGACATCTTGATGTACGAAACAGGAAAACATTACAGAGTGGGGAAGCAATCGAGTAAAAGTGGGAAAGCGAATTGGTAAACGAAAGAGGACAAAACTAACTGTGCGATTTGGAATTATCTGGGCGTGCGTAGCTGAAAGGACAGGTACCTCAATGTTCCTATACAACTGTAACGGTGTGTAGACTATCGGAGATTACCGTAAGTTAAGGGTAGCACAATTCACTGGGAAATTTCTAGCGGGATGTATGAAAACAGATCAGAATGGTTAGAAAGCTGCCGGATCTGGCATAGATTTTACGGGAATGAATCGAATTCAGAGAATAAGAAACGAAGTCGTCCGTATACATTTAGATGTGTGAAGAGGGTTGGACCGAAGGATCACCGGTGTGGATCTGTTTGGTGTGTATGCAGACTGCAAGGGGGGGGGGGTCATGAAGAATTGTGGTATTTGACTGCAAGTGACTTAAGATGGGCTTTTCAGTCAACTTCAAAACTGCGGAGAGCAGCGCGATAGGACGAAACCGCTTTGCAACAACAGTTGATGATGGGGCGTTAGGGGTCGTTAGTTATGGTTAAATAACTCAGGAATTGACAGGGATTCAACAATTATGAATGTCATCGGATTGGCTAGGATAGCTGCTTCAAATTTGAGAACCGCTAGGGACAGTCCATCAGGGTTTGCTTTGGAGGACTGGAGAGGTTCCAAGATTTCGTCATTTAAAAATGGTACACATTGCACAGGAAGGAGAGGTACACAAACACGGGTTTTCATGGGGTAATACATTGTTTCGCATACACAAGTGAACCCTGTTCATATGACGTGAATACATAACCATGCCAAGGATAATAAAACACCGGTCAGTATATTAACGTTGCAACATTTGATATACTTACCACGGTCGAGGCTCAAGAACTATGGGTCTTAGGGGGGTTTCAGTTCACAACTCACACCTTACACATTTAAGGCAAAAATAACTAATTGGATCTATCCTGAATGAGCATTACTTCACATGAATCTGAATATAAAATGTGAATTGTGTTCAGAATGTAACGAAAAGATGAATAAATTGAACTGAGTTCAAAGTGATCAGAATATATGAAGGAATGCCTGAATGAAAAGTAGGTTGACATACGATTAGAGATGCCATGAGTAATGGAACAACCAAAGTTATGCAAATATACACGTTAGTTATGAACTGAGAGAAGAGTGTTTACGCCCCTGCGATACAGTCCTCGTGGAACTTACCGGTAGTAAATGTAACCACATAAATACATGCCAGGATTAGCAGATAACTCAGCTCTGAATCCAAGCTTTTTCAACTGGTCCAAAGTTCGAGTCAGATTAAGACCGCAATGCAAGACGGTTCCACCGTTTTGTGCACAGTGCTCCGCACATTCACACTGCTGACCAGATGCGTCCAGCCTCACGTAGGGATTCTTATAAGCTTGCTGTTCCAAAATTATCGCCTCGGCTCCATCATTCAACCCCACATGAACAACTAGAGCCTGAGAGCACGGGTGGGGGGGGATGTGCGGGAATCGACAAACCGATCAAAGTAACAAGCAACGTTTTGGAGGAAGCCGCAATAAAGTGCTAGTTTAACAAAGAATTTTAATTAATTAGGTATCAGCAAAAACGGATTAACAGTTATCATTCAAGCGAAACCTTTAGGATGCTTGTGTGTTCCAATGGAGACGAAAAGTTTTCCCGACGGCCGTTGCTGGTCTATGAAAATGAGGCTTCGATTGTTCGTGGTTGCTTGGTTTGGCTTTTGCCTGATCTATTACAACTGTAGAGGAAGACAGTGAGTGGAAGAAGGCCAAGGACTGCCAAACTAGGATCTGGCATATGAAAATCCCACTTCGTCCGTTCATCAGCCTTCGCGCCAGTTCAACGGCGAACCGAGTCGACCGCTGCGTAAACAAGGGACAAAACTAGTCGGTGGAGAAGAACAAATATATAAACAAAAGGGTACAAGTGGAACACTGCCACTTCTCAAGCACTGATGATGTCACCTTGGCTGGTGATGAAACGTTTGCAAACAAATTGCCAGGCTCGGCAAACAGGCAAAATGGAATTCAGTTCATCCGAGCTACAAGAACCGATTTTCAATATGAAAATTCTCGCCGAGATGTCAAGTCAAAATAATTAGCTTTAGGCTCTCTGCTTCTGGGCAAGTTTAATCGACGGCCAAGAACACTGGGTGATATGGTTGAATGTCATAAACAACAATGCTTGTGCGTCTGTTCCATTTATGTGCACATTTAGTTTACCAAAATTTCACATTATCAGACCGGTACTGCTCTAAACCTTTTAAATCTTTCATTCATTACGCGACCAGACGGACAGCAGAAGAACCGNAAGAACCGTAACCGAACCCGGAGCACAACAGTGCATGATCAGTGATTGCGTCAACTGGAATTTCACTCGCAATATCGTGCACGTTTTTGCACGATTAAAACCAGCTCCTGGACACAGTTCCCCGAAGCATTGGTAGATTGACAATAAATGTTCCTGTAACTCAGTTTTATAGCTCCCAACTTCGAAAGTAAATTGCAAGATATTGCTCTCAATGTGTGATGGAATACAATTAATCTTTACTACGGTTGCTTCTCTGGAGGAGGACAAGTCAGGTTCACGATGACGATGATCAGGAAATTCATAATGAAAAAATGTCGTTTGTTGATGCCAAGCTCACAGTTGTGAACACCACCGAATAATTCAAATGAGACCAAGATTGAAGGCGAAATGACAATATAAAAGAACATGGCTGATGACCAGAGTATTGGGATACTGTTTGTATGAGAACGGCGAAATCCGAAGAGCCACAAAGTAGTAGAGTAATGCTAAAGTTTGTGCGGTATCCCACCTTGCGGATAAACTGGGCGGAGAGGTGACACACTTAATCCTTGTACTATCTGTGCGAAGATATTCCTACCACATTTCAAGATTATTTTTGACCTTGACGTGGCTTTTTTGTTGTATCCGTTCCATGCGGAGCATAACTCACTACAAAGGCTTCTCTAATTAATGAAATTTACTGATTTTATTTGTGTTGGAATTGTGAAAAGTTCAGTAACCCCTATGGCATTTGTACCCACGCATGTACAGCGCACGCTCTACCAGTCTGATCTGGAGTACACAGAAGACATTGTGTTAATAAATGAAGATACGGGTAAGTTACAAGCTTTTCTAGATAGTTTGTGTGCTAGTATATCTATGTTTGGCATACGTTTTGCACCCTCAAAGTGTAAATGCTGCTACAAGATTAGGTTAGCCCAGTCCCCAACCTCACCCTGACCGGGTAAATAGTAGAGAAAGTAGATAAGTTTTGCTACCTGGGTAGCTTTTTCTCACCTGGCGGACGCATCACAGATGAAGTGTCGGCGCGCATACAAAACGCTCGGTTGGCATGTGCCATCTTCAAATTTCTGTGGCACCGTCATGATATCCGGCTGTCTGTGAATGGTCGAGTATATGCTGCAACAGTTCGGCCAGTTCTGCTTTACGGTGCAGAGACTTGGCCATTACGGGATCAAGACAAAAATAGGTTTTCGATGTTTTAATACCACTGTCTCAAAGCATTGCACGAGTCTGTTGGGGAAACCGGACGAGCAATGTCGAGGTTCGGCGTAGAGTTTTAGGTAATCGCGGTCGTCCACTGGAACAGGTAGTCAACCTCCATGGATTACGCCGGTTGGGATATGTGTTACGCATGGCACCAGATAGGTTGCCGAGGCAGGTAGCGGTTGGAAAAAGGTCAAAGGCGGTCAAACCAAGACCTGGCATGACGGTATGAAGACCATAGCCAGGAGACTGGCTTACGTAGGTGCGTTTAGACTCCTTGGCTGGGGACCCCGAGATCATGATCACCGATGGTTAGATACACTGAGCGATATGGTTGGGTGTCACAAACAGTGGCGCTCATGCATCTACTCAATATTCAAGTAACTGCAGTTTACATGAATTCTCTATCTTCCCTTTGAATTTGCTCTCGACATTCCTATCTTCTTTCTGCTCTTTTATCTCAATGGGCGGCCAAAAGACAGCAACCAAAACCGGTGCACGAAAGTGTATGGTTAATGGTTGTAAAAACCGAGAGCGCTCTACCAGCTGAGCTACGAGGCCACGCTGATGTCAATGATCTTTTCCCATCAAAATCACGCATCCAACTTACAGATATATACGGCATATGGCATCCACCAGGTAGACTGTAAGCTGACTGCCCCGACAGGGTTTCCTTAGAATTTCAGTGAAGTCCATTGAAGGAAATTCTAATTCTAGGATAGTTGTTCAAATTGTTGTTTGGTAGATTGAAGTCCGAATCCCACTGAGGCTACTGAACCTTTCACAATTTCAACATAAGACTTCAATCTACAAAACAACAAATTGAATGTTTTTATTGGGTAGGTATGTTTCAATAACTTGCATAGATGATACTAATCCATTTATTGCACCTCGAGGGATCTGCATCGACGGTAGAAAACCTTAGCGACATTTCAACAAGGAAGTTGAAGATATCAGGTTTATAATAAAACTTGGTTATTCATCAAATCGTCTCTTTTACTGTTTCATCACGAACCACCTCAAATCTGACACCTGACTGTCGATGTTCAACACAGAATTAGTTACCACTTGATCTTGCAGAAACACTGCAATGAACAATGACAATTCTATTGAGTGTGAACTCTGGGTAACGTCCGAACATCAAAACACAAAGGAGATTTTCAGCGTACACCAAATACCCAAGCTACTGTTTAACTACTCTTTCAATGAAAACTTACTGAAAACCAATGAGGACATTGTTCGGTATCTTGTTTGACGGAAAAGCTAGAAGAAGTGGAACTTCTAACTCGGACAAGATTCTCTTGGTTAAAGATGTGCGAGCAGAGACCCCGAGAGACGCACACACGCTACAGGACGGGCAAACTTACAAAGAAGACGGTGGGACAAGTGGAGACATTTGGCAAATGTGGCTTGCCGCCTGTGTGCTGGTTGTATGAGCGAACAGTACGGCGGTCGGAAATGTGGATGCATGATCCTGTGAACAGAAATCATGATAGTAAGGAGAAAAAGTGAG